CCTGATTAACTATAATTTTTAAGTATATTTAAATAGAATGACGCTTGCGATCGAATTTAACTCACGTGTGTCACAAACAAAAACAATCTTTCTTTTTCGAACTATTTATTCTAAAAAAATTAGAAAAGATTAAAAAACGAATTTGTGCCATACTTTTACTTAAGCTAAGAATATTTTTATTATTATAAACTGTAATTTATAACTTTTACCTTAAAGATAAAATAAAACAAAGATTTAAAAAAAATTAAAGATGCTACCAAAAATTACAAGATCACTTTCAAAGACAATTTTATTTGAAGAAAAAAAAAGTGTTAGAAAAACTTTGTTAAACGCAGTTTGCCATAAATGAGGGAATTATTCTTCATTTTCATTAAAGGTATGATTAAAACATTAAACTGATTAAAAATTATCATTCAATATATTAACCAAGTAATTAGATTTCAGTTTGAAAAACGAAATATATAAAATCTAAATTTAATCTTAATAACTCAGGCGTCTGTTAGACAAAAATACTCCCACCAAAACTTTGATTGGTTGTGCTTCCCAAGATAAAATGATGTCAGCATGCTCTGAACTAGCAATATGTCCTCAGAACTGCATCTTTTTTGCAATAAAGATGCAGTTCTGAGAAGTATGAAGTTCTGAGATGCAGTTTTGCAGAAGTAACTACTAAATCTCTGATTTAGTAGTTACTTCTGGGGGCAGTTTGACAGATTTCTTGCTTTCTAAATCTACCATCAGACGTGCAAAAAAGAAAGCAATAAGTACAAGTGCAGCTAAATATCGTGAAGATATAATAAAAGCTGCAAGTCAAAGTAAATTTCCAATAATTGCACACTTTGATGGAAAAAATCTTGCAGGATATTACTAACGGTACAAAACAAAAAAGAGATCGTTTTGCTGTTCTTGTAAATATCGATGGTGATTTAAAACTTCTTGGCATTCCGCCAATGGAAAATTGTACTGGAAAATCTCATCATGATACTTTAGTAAACATTTTGAATGAATATAAGCTAAGAACTTATATAAAGGGTCTGTGCTTTGACACAACTTCAACTAATACAGGAAAATATTCCGGCACACAAATTAGGTTTTATCAAACACAGGGTTCAATTATACTACAGCTTGCATGTCGAAGACATGTTTATGAGCTTCACATATAACATTTTTGGGGAAAAGTTCACATTGGTAAAACTTATGCTCCTGGTAATCTGATGTTCAAAGTTTTCCAAGCTAATTGGAACGCAGCAAAGGAAACTATGGATAAATCAAAGTTCAAAAAGTTTGACAAAGCTGCAGGTAAAGAAACGTATCTAGAAAAACAGATCGAAAAAACTGTTCAATTTTGCAAATATGCACTTGCCAATTTAGTATTTCAGAAAGGTGATTATAAAGAACTGGTAGAACTTACACTCACCTACTTATGTCCAGATGTAACCTTTAATGTTTATGCTCCCGGATCAGTTTCCCATGCTCGTTTTATGGCAAAGTCTATATATTATCTTAAAATTCAAGTTTTAAGTAATCAGTTGCCCTACCAATTGACAGCTTGTTTACAAAAAGAAATCAGTAAAATGGCAGAATTTATTTCTATATTTTATACTGTATGGTTTGTGCATTCCTTTTTAGTTTCCTCTGCACCTTATCAAGATTTAAATGCGTACTGGCAGATGGTCCAGTATAAACGTTGGGTGGAATCTTACGATCCAGGAGCTAATGATGTACTAGAGGGAATTGAAGAAATATTGAAATCAATGGAGAGACATACGTGGTATTTGGATCAAACTTTGATTCCATTAATCCTTCTGCAAGATCTAGACTTCACCCGGGAGAAACCACCTAGCTTGTCACAGTTGGTTGGTAGGAACTCATGGTTTATTTTCAGTCTCTTAAATTTGAACAAAGACGATGATAAACCTTAGCTTATAATCTTTTATTATAATCTTCATCTTTTTGGGGCTTTATCGATCAATTTAAAACTTCCATTGAATTTGTTTGCTGAATATATGTTGTCAACTGCTCTGAACGAGCAATTAAGCTTGTGTCAGAGTTTGTTAATTCTGTTCACAATGAAGAGGACAAGCAAGATTTACTGTTGGCCGTTCAGCATAGTAGGGATAAATTCAAGGAATTCGAAAAAGTACAAACTACGGAGAGTGGCAAAAAAAAAAAGGCGCTGATAAAGCATAGTTTGGAGAATGTTTATTCGATTTTTCACCAAAAACACGAAGAAAAAATTGTTGAGTCATAGTTTTACAAACTGTTTTTGAAGAAAATTTTTTCTTGATTATTTATTACTAATTTATCACTGTTGGCCTTAACAATATCGTTATATATATATATATATATTTTTTAGCAGAAAATTTATTATTTTACCTTAACTATCTTAGCTACATGATATTCAGCAAAATAAAATTGTTTCATTAAAACGCTTATTTTGCAGCGCCTATATTAAAATCTAATCAAACTATATGTAAAAATAAAACTTTAAGGCAAATGGTACATATTTTGTAAAAAAAAGTAAAGTAGATGGAGGAGGGTGAGAGAAAGAAATATACTCTCCGCCGCCCACCACTAACCCTCCTATGTTAGAAATTATTTTTAAAATTGAATTTTGGATCAAATTAATCTTTGTAAACAAGAATTTGATAAAAATTTGTCACAGAAAGTTTGAGTGATAGAAAAATTGGTCAATAAAATCCATAAAATTACCTAAAATTAGAATATTTCGCCCATTTTTCCAGTGTCAAACCAATACACTTTTTAAAAACTTGTAAGTAAAGTATGGCAAGAATTCATTTTTAAATCTTTTCTAATTTTTTTAGAACAAATAGTTCAAAAAAGAAAGATTAGTTTTGTTTGTGACAGTTAAATTCGATCGCAAGCATCATTCTATTTAAATATACTTAAAAATTATAGTTAGTGCGTTTATTCTTGACCTAAATTAGTATATATTTTTTTATTGTAAACTTCTCAACCAATTCCAAATTAATATTTAGGCCTTTTAGAGTTCATAGAAAAAAAATTGGTGTTTTATGTCAATGTTTAAGGTCCCCGCTTTTTGGTTAAAAAAGTTGGGGTTTTGGGGCACAAATTGTAAAAGCGGGGACCTTAAAAAAATTTTTTTAGCGTAAAATCATTTTTAACCAACCGGTCAACTAATCCAGGTGGTTGAAGTTTAGTTTGAAAAAATTGTTAAAAAATGATGCACCCTAATATATATATAAAAAATAATCCTCCTCCTCATATTTTACGTTCTACATATATATATATATATATATATATATATATATATATATATATATATATATATATATATATATATATATATATATATATATATATATATATATATATATATATATATATATATATGTATATCTATATATGTATATATATATATATATATATATATATATATATATATATATATATATATATATATATATATATATATATATATATATATATATATATATACACATATATAAAATTATATATGTATATATATAATTTTATTTTTTGCTCAAATTACAAAATTAATTTGCACTTTTCTTCAGTATTGTATAATTGTCTTTTTTTTCAGATTTTGATTATTTTAAACTCTAGAAAAAACAACTACAACAGGTAAATTGATTTGCAGTATTAACATGTAATATTTTTACTTATTTTATCATATCATAATTTTTTTTTTCTAGATATACCTTCCAATGCTTTTTCAGCATATTGCAGATCAAATAGATCACATCTAACAAGGCCCAAATCTAGGGCAAAAGCTTAACCCCATTTATTCTTTAATAGGGAGTGTGGATCCTGTA